CAAAGTTGCGATTCTCTTGTCGCTGTAGCCTTTCCTCAGCCCCACCACCTTGGCCTGCTTCCACTGTCTTTTGGCTGCCACCATCCTCATGGTCCTTAGTTCTCTTGGAACGTCTGCAGCTGAGGGCTAGGATCCGGGGACTGCCTGGGCAGAAGAGGAAGATTGGGTTACATGCTGTGCTTGCTGTTTAACAAAGGTTTGTCTGGCCATTTTAGCCAAATATCCTTCTTTAAGTTCAGAAAAAGCTTGTGCCTTCTAAAATCTCAGGTTGGAGCTTCTTGAGAGTACCTAGCCATGAAAGCACAGGAAGATGGTTGGACTTCCCCTCCTGAGGTCTCCTCTGGGTGTGGCCATGTTCCGCTTGCTCCCTCAGGGCACCCAGTGGCCTCCATTATCTCCATGGACCACTATCAAAACCTGGCCTCAGGAAGAGAGTTAACAAACTCATTCACACAGCTGCTATGGCTAAAAGAGGAACTTCTCTTTGAAGGTCTTAAAACGGAGAGATTAATGACTATTTTTGACATCTAGGGCTCTCAGCACCAAGGAAAGAGAAGTGTTTTAGAAGATAGGAAAACCTTTTTGGTGTCTCTGATATCATGCCCCGGGGGATTCAGCCTCTCAATATGACTCGCTCTTTATCATGCCTGGCAAAACTTGTTTAATATTCAAAATAAGTATGAAGTCTCCTCTTTTCTGAACTAAACTTCATATGAAGCACAATCAAGCTAACTTTATTGAGCATTTGTTATGTAGCAGGTATCTGCACACTTCAATACATTATTTTCCTCTCAAATTTAGGTAGAATATCATTTAGAGTTGGTTTATCTGAACCAAACAGATATAAATGCAAAGGGCATTTATTGGCTCATGAGACTGGGGAGTCCAGGTATAGAGCTGGCTTCAGACCTGACTGGATTCAAACAATGTTATCAGAACCTCATCTCCCTCCATCTCCTGGATTGGCTCCACCTTCCTCTGTGTGTTGGCTTTGTTCTCAGCTTTCACTTCGGGGCAGGTGGCTGGAGCTGCTCCAGCCAGTCTTCCAATGCCTCTATTCTCAGTAGGAAATAGAATGCTTCCTCCTGAGTGCTCAGATGCACTCTAATGAGATGGGGTCACATGCTCATCTCTGAACTGGTCTTATGGCCAGAGCCTCAGAATCTGTCTGGCCATGTTCTGCATTCTTAGAGTGAGGTAGGTAAGCACCCAATCAGACTAGAGGGCTAGAGAGTAGGGAAGGAGGACTCCCAAGTGGAAATGGGGGAACAGATACTCAGCAGGCACCTAGAAATTTTCAAAACCTCCATGAGTGTTAGTATTCCAGTTTAATAGATGAGGAAACTGAGGCTTGGAAGTTTAAGTAACTTACCCAAGGTCACTGCTACTAATTGACAGAGCAGACACTTGAAGCCCGTTATATTTAACAAGCCATATTTGTTGCTCCATTTATTCAGAGGAAATGTGTCTGCTCTTTAAATAAATAAAAACAAGAATGCATATCTAGAGTAAATGTATTAATATCAAATTTTCCATAATGAAAATCATCCCTCGCTTGTCCTGCAAATTTATCCCAGGGGATAAAACTAGAAGCCCTCTAAGGAGGCATAACTCTCTGTCCAATATGCCATTGGCCAAGTTCTGCTGCCAAGAGGAAGAAAGGGAGGGTGGCTACTTTTAAAAGATATGCGACATGCTTTTGACTTCATCATTAGAATGATTTGAACCAAAAACTCCACTGGCTTCAAGGAAATCAACATGCTAAGTGAATTCTTGGTATAATTTTTACTTTCTTAGACACTTCAGACGGGCCCAGCTGCCTCCTGGGAGGATTCAGAAACAGTCTTCTAGGAGGCATGGTCATTGCTGATTTTGTTCTGAACTCTCAACCACAAGTGGCTATAAAGTCTATTAGTCATGGCCTTATCAGATTGACACAGGGCCACTTACTAACCAAGATAGAGAAAGCCCTGCTATGCACTACGGGATGGAACACTTAGTTTAGAGTTAGCAGAGTCTTGGACCTGGCACCAATTAAGTCTGGAACCTCAGATAAATCACCTAACCTTTCTGGTTCTCACTTTCTTCATTTATAAAATCTTTAAAATGATGATCACATTTTCTTTATATGTTTTTGTGAAATTCAGGTGGTATAATTGTATTTTAAAATTCTCCAGAATATCTGCAAGTCTTTAAACATTTCATAAATATAAAATATTATAATCCTTCCAATCTAAGAATCTGAGAACTCCATGGCTGCCTATTCATATTAACAGCAAAGAGTACCCAGAGGCAGGCAGGTCTAATTCAAATTAGAAACGAAGCCTGCAACTTCAGCAGCTGCTTCTGGACTAGGTGACAACGACCTGCTTAATAAGGAAATAACAGCTTGCTGCAAAACAAAACAAAAGAAAGCAAAACAAAAAACACAAATTTGTTTCACTAGATTGAAATGCAAAAAGAGTGTGATAGAAGTGTGGCATCAAGTTCTGAAGCAAAGTTAGCAGTTACCCAAACTCTGTATGAGCCAACTTTCTCAGCACATGGGACTTCTAGATCTTTTACTGTCATCCAAAAGGTTTCATATGTAGTTCAGGTAAAAGTGCTCACTGTTTGGGCAGGACAGTGGCCAGACCTGCGGCTGAACTCCATCAACATTGGGGACCATCTTCCTTCCAGAGCCTTCCCTGGAACTCTCTGCCTCACTTCAGCAAGGTGCAAAGAACTTAACTCCTTTGCTCATCCTCAGAAGACCATGCTTCACAGACCACGCTTTTGGGCATCTCCTGACCTTCCTTACTTACTAGACACTGACATCATTTGTGTGTTGGGTGGTTTGTTTATAGGATTGGAAGCAGAGTGCCTACTGTTATCTGATCACAGGCAGTAGAGATACCAACTGGAAAGCGCAGTTTCTGCCCTAAAGGAACTTTCCAACTGAGGTTTTCTTGGGCTGCAGAGGTGGTACCTGAGCCAGCTCTTCAGACAAGAGGTGAGAGTGAGGGATATTCTAGGCCAAAAGAACAAGGTGAGCCGAAGAGAGACACGGGAGACCATGATGCATTTGGAACATTTGTGTCCATATCGGTGGACTACAGGATGTGTGTGGCTGAGGAGGTTGGGAGAGGAGACTAGAGAGGTAGGCAGGGGCTGGATCATGAAGAGCTTTGTAAACCATGTTTTAAAATGAACCTTTGGGGCTGGCCCAGGGCGCAGGGGTTAAGTGCGCACATTCCACTTTGGCGGCCCACGGTTCGCAGGTTTGGATCCTGGGTGCGGACATGGCCCCGCTTGGCAAGCCACACTGTGGTAGGCATCCCACATATAAAGTAGAGGAAGATGGGCACGGATCTTAGGTCAGAGCCAATCTTCCTCAGCAAAAAGGGGATTGGTAGCAGATGGTAGCTCAGGGCTAATCTTCCCAAAAATAAAAAAATAAAAAGTAAAAAAATAAAAATAAATAAATAAAATGAACCCTTATCATAAGGGCAATGCAGAGGCATTGAAGCATTTTAAGCACAGAACTGATATGATTAGATGTACATTTAAATAATAACAAGCAATATGTATTCCAAGTAAAATACGGAAAATCAGAAAAGCACAAAAAGTATATAATAGATTTATTGAATGTATTGGACATACTATAGCACTAAGAAGAAGTGCCTTTTTTATTCTTTCTCCTGCTGCTCTAGAAAACCCATTCTAGAGTGAAATCCTTAGTTTTCCTGATCCTATTCAGTCACAAGAATGCTCTCTTTGAGTACTGTAAAAGTCCTGTCAAGCCTGGCATTACTCCTTCAATCTTTTATTCATTTTAAAACTTCTCTCACCACTCCAGCTAGCCTTGCTTCAGTCCTAGAAACTTGAAGTGGAGGAGCGCATGGTCAGCTTTTTCTCATCCTTTTCTACCCTCTAGCTGCCGGTTCCTCAGGCCCTTTAGGAAAGATTAGGGGCACGTGGCCTAGACTTGTGTGACTGGTACAGTTGTCATCTGGTGTGGCATTCGCACGTTGAAGATCCTTCTACTAGAAACCCCTGACTATAGTACCCTTCTGCCGGGTCTCTTTACCCTCCTGCTGGTTTCTTGGGTGGCATCCCTCACACCATTCACGGGTGGCTTATGTGTGAGTCTCCTCCATTCCATGGCCCTCCCATCAGGGAAAATGCAGCTCCCTGCCAATGCGTCCTCTCTCTTCATTCTGCTGCAAGGCAGGCCCCTCCAGCCAGCATTTCACATTTAGGCTTTTTTTGGTGAAAGTCAGTCACCAGTCCCACCCCCTTCAAACTCCAGGAGGCACAGGTCAAGATCTCCAAACGGTTTTTGTGAAGCCCCCTCACTTGGTTTAAGGTGAGGGGTGTTTCCGTGGCAGAGCGGGGATGGGGTGGGTTGTGGAACGCATCACCAGGACCACTCTCTATCGAGAAGCCCTTGCTCTGGCTGTTTAAACCTCCCAAAGTATGTTTCCAGCCTGTCTCCCACAGCCCGAAGCTGGGTAATGGGCTGATACTGGCAGAGCCATTTCACAATGTCTTTGCATGCCCTGCATAGCTAGGTGGCCTAGCACTTCCTTCTAGAATGTGCCAACTTGGGGCCAACCATGCTATCTTTGCAGGCTTGAGATAATAAAGGAAGCGATTTTCTGTACAAAATAAAAATCACCTGTAATCCCACAATTCCCCCCTCTTCTGGAAGTGCAGAGAATAAAGATTGGAAGTCTCCTTTCCTCCTCTCATCTTTAACAGTTTGGTGTGTATCTTTTAAAATTGTCTTTTATGCTTATACAAATCCAGAAGATAGAAAGATAGACAGGTGATTTTAAAACATAGTGACAAAATTTTTGACGTTGTTCCCATCTAGAGGTAGAGTTTATGTTCCCTTCCCTTGAGTTGAGCCAGGCTGTGACTGCTTTGACCAATGGAGTACAGTGGAAGTAAAGCTGTGTGACTTCTGAGGCTAGGTCATAAAGGGCCATGAAGCTTCCACCTCAGTCCCTGGAGACACTAGCACTTGAAGCACTGAGCCACCATGGAAGAAGTCTGACTACCTTGAGGCCTAATGTTGAGGAGGCCACACATAGGTCCTCTGGTCAACAGTCCCAGCTGAATCTGTCCTTCGGCATTGCCCCCCAGGCGCCAGACATGCAAGTAAAGAAGCGCCTTAGGAGTGTATCTTCCAACTCCAGCTGTTCCAGTCCCAGCCATTCAAGTCATCCCAGCTCTAAATATCACAGGACAGAGAAAACCCAACCCTGCTATCCTCTGTCTGAATTCCTGACCCACAGAATTTGTGAGTATAATAAAATGGTGGTGGTTTTATGCCACTAAGTTTTGGGGTGCCTTGTTACGCAGTGTTAGGTAACAGGAACAGACAAAGATATTCATGTTTAAAAGTGCATTAAACTGCAAATGGTAAGGATGGAGTAGAAGGGGGCAAGATTAGGGGCAGGAAGAGAAGGTATAAGGCTTTTGCAGTAATCCACATGGGAGAGAAGGACTTAATTAAGGTAGCGGTTGTAGGAAGGAGAGGCAGGACCCAACTGAGAAATATTTAGGCATAATGCTTCTGCCCCCCTGGCCAGCGTCAAGAGGATGAAGCCTAAGAGACAGGAGAAGGCGGCAGAGGGCAGGCACCCTTGTACGTGCCGTGAGTGCACGTCTCCTTTGGTGCATCTTTGGTTTTTCCTCTGTGTGCAGAATGGGCTCTCTTCCCCTAGGCTGTGATTACATGGTTTAGTTCCACAAACGGGGGGCCCTGAATGTTAGGCTACAGATTACATTAATCAATCTATTTTGTTTTATTTTACGTGCTTACTTAAAAGTCTTTTATACTTAGGAAATATATGCAAAGTAATGTACAAATCAGCAGAGCCTTGTCATCTTATTAAGCTGAGCCCTTGTACCCTGTCAGTGAACAAAGAGGCCCCTGGGCGAGCAAGGTCGGTCTCCAGTCTCCGTGGGGTCTACCTTCCTGCGCCAGGGCAGTGAGGCGGGGCGGGAGGGACGGAGTGCACAGAACAGAGAGAGACAAATTGCTCACAGCTGCCTCACTAGCATGTTTCAAGATATACTAGGCACAGACTGTAGAACAATATGTGCAGTATAGTTTATATTCTAAAAAAGATACGCACATGTGAATATGTGCATAGACAAAAGACCAGACGCATACATGCCCAAAATGGTAAGCATATTATCTCTGGGGTATGGAATTACTTCTGTTTTTGTTGGTTGGCTAGTTTGTTGGATTCTTTGTGCTTTTTTTATGTGTCTCCAGCTTCCTGCACATATATTACTTCTGAAAACTCAAAAAAAAACCCAGCTATGTTAAAAATGGTTAAGCCGTCAGAATTTCACCCATCTTGCCCGTGCTTATCAGTGCTATTGTTTCCTGCAAGTTCGACCTTCCGCCAACCTACTAGTCCTCATTTTACTAGGCTAGGAGATCACAAATTCAATAAGAGACTGTCTTAAACACAACATTTGGGGGCGTTCTGATTCTCCCTTTCAGAATTCTTTTCTAAACCCTTCTTTAATACTCATCCCATTCTCCAAGGACTCAGGACAGCCTCTGGGTCCCCTCTGATCCTCTTTACAGTGCTAGTTCTGTGGTCTTTCGTAACCAGGGTCTGTGCTCCCAACTCTCTTCTCTCTCTGGCTTTTCCTGAATCCCCCCCACTCCCCACCCTCCATCCAAGTGCCTGCTTCCCAGGTAGATTTCCGTTATCTGTTAGAAACAGTCAATACATATTAAACTATTCTGAACATTTGAATAGCTAATCGCTTCCTACTCACTGGGTTTTAAAAGAGGTTTCCCAGTTAATGTTACTGTGTCTCTAATTGGTGATAGGAAAGCTTTAGTCAAATACAGATTTTCCTGCTCCCATTAAGTCCGTGCACAAGCAGGTCACAACCTCTTTTAGCCAAGCAGAGAAGGTTTCCTGTAGCCAGGCGCCATCGCCATTACTATCAGATGGAGCAGCGACTAATTCAGTCACATTGATGGATGCCGAGATGGTGCCTGGATTCATCTAGAGTCGGAGCTACAGAGCTAGAGTGCGAGAAACCAATTTCCAATTTCCTCCTGGCCTGAAGTGCTCCAGGTCACCCCTGCTTACAGAGAAAATGACATGAGTCACCACGTCTCCTGAGCCAGCTCATGCAGAGTGCCGTGCACGGCTAAGCTGCCCAACAACAATAGGTGTATGCAGAATGCACACTGTATCACCTCATTAGTTCCAAAGATCTAACTCTGACTTCCCAGAAAAAAGGTTAGGGAAACTGCAAAATGTGGCAGTCACAAAAACCACTTCAATGGGCCTCCCTGTGGCGAGTGGGTAAAGTTCTGTGCATTCTTCTTCCATGGCCCAGGTTCATGGGTTGGGATCCCAGGCGTGGACATACTCCACTCATTGGCCAAGCTGTGGAGGCATCCCACATACAAAGTGCAGAAAGACCGGCACTGATGTTACCTCAGGGCTAATCTTCCTCAAGCAAAACAAACCAAAAAAGGGGGTGGGGTGGGAAGATTGGCATGGATGTTAGCTCACGGCAAATCTTCCTCACCAAAAAAAAAAGCACTTCAAAGCAATACCCAAGAGGGGAAGAAATGCAGACAAGCTTCTGAACTCTAGCAGGTGAGCCAACTCAAAACAAGGCCGTTCCTGCTCATGACAATCCCTTCCCCCAGGGACCTTTAAATGGTTTGGAGGGTTTTCTGTGGCTTCTTTCTGTGGAGTAGAGCCGGGATTTTTGTTTTGTTTTGTTTTGTTTTTCTGCCAAAGTTTCATTCATTAAACAAATATCTTTAAGTACTTATTATGTGCCAAGGATTGTGCCAGGCACTGATGCTTCAAATATGAACATAGATCAGTTCATGCTCTGAAGGATGCTACCATCTATTGGAGGGTGGCAGTGGGGTTTGGCTCAAATGACGAAACAAACAGAAATAAAATAAATTAAGCCCAATAGAGAGTATAGGAGAACAGAGGTAAAGAAGTGCTTAAGTCCTCATGCCAGAAAGGAGGCAGACATGGGAATGGGGGTGGGTGGGTGGGAAGGAAACTGAGAGGCAGGGAGGAACAAAGCACCCTGGAGTGAAGGCTTCACTCCAAGGATAAGTAATTAAGCAAGTGGATAAGTGAGGTGCAAGTGAGGAGGGAGAGAGAAAAGAGATTAGACCATGTTTACCCCTGAAAGACAGTTCCAACTCTACATTTTTTTTGGTATCAGTTTATTTTTCTTTTGTTTCTTGTTTAACTCTAAAATTGAAACTAAGTGGAAACAGTTTGTAACCGTGAATATTGAAATGGTACTACCCTTAATTTCACACAGTTAAGCTCCTTCCAATCTTCATTTCTCTGCTGTGAGCCTTTTCCAGTTACACTTGTCTAGAAGACAGATCAGAGAAATGAAAAAAAAAGTGAAAGTCCATCCTTTTTAAGTAGTTGGTTTATGTTTTATAATCTATTTCTCTAAAGTTTCAGAGGAAGCAACTAATGTATTTGTTTAACTAAGCCTGTTAAAATGATTGGAAAAAGTTGGAAACAAAAACTACATTTCAACTTTATTTCCTCAATTAGCCTAATAATTGAGAGATAACTATAGAATATGCCACTTCCACTCCAAAGTATAACAGGAAAAATGCCAGAGATCTGGCTCTCTAGTCTTGCTCTCTGCATAAAGGGTTCCCAGCTGCTCTACATGCACCTAAAATGTATGATTTTATTTGACAAACTGATTCGACATGTATTCCTTTTAAACTAATTTTTAAAATTATAAGTAATACATGCCTATGGGTTAAAATAAAAGTACAGAAGGGAATGACAGTTACTCCCCAGAAGAAATCACAGTCAACAGCTTTGTGAATCTCCTTTCAACATACATAGGACAACAACAGGATTATGTTGTAGACCGTGGCATCTTCAGAATTTCTATATTGCAGAGCTTAGGAGGGGCAATCCCGCTAAATGGGAAGGCTAGGAGAGAAGCTGTATTTGCATAGCAAGCAGTTAGTATCAGTGTCGATTTAGCATTGTTTGTGGGGGTGGGAGCCCAGGAGATTACGGGAGAACCTAAAGGCTTCTCAGAGCCAGCTGCCAAGCACTGCCATATATATATTTCCATAACTTGCTTTTTTAAATGTAAAAACACATCTTGAACACTTCACCATATAATCAACACATATAGATCTATCACCTTCTTTTATAACAATTACAAAAGATTCCATTGTATTTAACTAGACTATTGATAAACATTTACATTATTTCCAGTTTTCACTAAGCATTTGTGTGTGTGTGTGTATAAAATTTTCTGCTTATAACATTAGAATTTCTATAGAATAGATTCATAGAATGGAAATTTCTAGGACGAAGGATACGTGCACTTAAAATTTTGAGAGAAAACTGTCATTGTTTAATGTGCAGTTAATATACAGTTCAATCTCCAGTTGTTACATGACCCTGCTTCCATTGTGATGGCACGACACTGTCTGATATGATTAATAGAGTGATCATATAATTTAGTGTCCAAGACAGAACAATTTTGAAAGAGGAAATAGATGCTATTAATTATTTTATGGGACCACAAGCATAAACCAGGACCATCCTGGGCAAACTGGGACATTTGGTCACCCTAATAGGTATTAAGATAAACATTATTAAGGAGAATAATATTGCTGAAAATTCAAGACAGCTCTGCAAACAGCTTAAGACATTTTAATTATCCTCCTTTTATCCTTCCCAAACCTGCTTTCATACTCCCACAGTGTTATAGTGAGAGAGTATATGAACCTTCCAGCAAGGAGGAAGAATTCGCTTCCAAATATTTTGCACTATTACACTTTTCATTTGAAAAAGGAAGATTCCCAAGCCAGGAATCATAGTTGGATGTCAAAATATCTCACCTAATAAAAAAATAATATGAAGAGAAGAAAAAGGTGTTTCGGAAAATAGTAATAGGACAATATCACAAAACGTTTGTTTCCTGTAAATGCAGCCTCAGCATTCCCTGATAAGCCCAAAAGCTAGTTAAAACATGAAAAAGAACAAAGCATTGTAGAGGAGAAAGACAAATCCTCTACTCACTCTAGGTCCTTCTGGCTGGCCTACGAAGTAAATTGACGTGAGACAGAATAACAGGAGAAAATCAAACAAAGCTTTATAACATGTGTACATGGGAGAAACCCAGGAAAGCTGAGTAATTCACCAGAATGGCTGAGCTGCCAGCTTAAATATTATCTTCAGCTAAAGGCAAAGGAAGGTGTTGCAGTGTAGTGGTTTGGGACTTCAAAGGAGAGAAAGGCAATTTACACGGAGATGGAAAAGCAAATGTATGGTAAACAGAACTTTGATGAGAATGGTCTTAGCAAGGATCCTCTCCGTCTACCAATACCCAGAGTTACCTATGGTGATGGTCTGTCCTGGGTTATCTTAAAGTTCTTTTAGGCAGTTGTGGCGGGGGGGGGGGGGGGGGGGGGGGGGGGGTGTCAAAGTTTCTTTCAGAGTCTTTTGTTCTTGAAAGTAATCAAGGCAAGGCAAAGAGACACATTCTGGGGTGGCTAATTCTATCTCTCACAGCATATTTGCTTTTCTGAGGCCTTTAACTTGAGTTCCAGCAGGCCAAATTTCAGGTAATTTGGATTTGATTTTTACAGCTCAGCCTGAGAATATAAATTCTCTTTGGTGTCCTGGAAAATGGTGGCACGGCTCAGCCTACTTCTTTGGTTCTTTAAGGACAGTCCAAGACCTGGGATATGAGACATATGGCCTTCTGTGAGTGTGGTCTATCACATGTGTCACTTCCCAGTTCCAAGAAGGCTGGGAAAAGACTTCTCTCCCTCCCAGGCAGGATCAATCTACAGTGAAAATCTGTGTAAATTCAGGAGAGGACTGGTTGTTCCAGATGGAGAAGGAGAGCCCGTCGCATGCCTTGTGTGTGTGTTCCTGCCCCTCCAGCAGCGCCCTTCGTTACTCATTAAGGATTCCATTCCTTATTCTGTCTGTTATCCCAGGCTCAAGAAGAAAGCCTTTGACGGGTTAATAAATTGCCCCGCACGCTGAGTCATCTGCCTTGTGTTTCTCACTAAATGAGAGACTTTAACAGATCAGGGCTGAGGTGTTGGGAAGCATGTTTCTAGCTAATGGCAAGCTGTTGAAAATGCCTCAGAGCCTTGCAATCCACCACCTGGAGGCAACTCCACGAGAGGGTATTTTCCAAAACATTCCTCACTTCACCTCTTGTCTATTGGCTGCTAATTCAAAAAGCGAAAGTAATGGCCTAATTTTTTTTTTAAAGGCTGAGTTAGTTACAATTACGCAGTGTTTAGTAGGAGCAACTGTTAACCTACTTTTTTTTTTTCCCCAATATATAGCACTATCCCCACTTCCTCACCTAGACTTTGTTTTGACTAAGGCATGTGTTGGCGAAACATTTGAAATTCATTGTTGCTGTGAAATGGATATTTTCCTTTGTCAAAAGCTGAGAGCTGAGATCAATCTGTAGATACTGACAAAGAAAGATAGCTAAGACATTGTTTGTCAAAAACAAACAATAATTGCCAAACAGGATGTATGGCAGATCCATTTGTGTAAAAATATGCATAAATATAATATGTGTTAATTTACGATTAGAGGAAATTTGAAAGACTATGTACCACATTATTAGTAGCTGTTACTTCTGGGGGTGGGATTGCCGAGGCTTTTTACTTCCTAAGACATCTGTATGATTTGCCTTTTATACAATAAGCATCTGTTCCTTTTCCGATCCAAAAGAGAAAGTGGGTGCAAAAATAAAGTTACTCAGGAAGACTGAAATGATTTCTTACTCCTACCATCAAACAGCCTGAGCAAACCGAAAGCAAATATAAGGAGCTTAGCAGTGGAGAATGAACAGTTCATGATGTAGAAGGCAGCACGGTTACGTATTAATAAATGTTATACATATTCTTCTCAGGGCAGAGGAAAAGGACAAATGCCAGAGCGACAGAATTTTCTACAGGTATTATTCATTAAAAATAAGCTTGTTTTAAAAATAAACTTGTTTTCTAAACTGTTTAGAGAACTTTTTCAAACTCACAGAGTTATTTTAGAAGAGTACTCATTTTGGTTACATAATCTGAACTCTCAGCTTAGGAGAATGTTCAGCTAGAATATGTCAGATGTTAGTTGGCTGTGCCTGATGGCAAATTACTGATACATAGTTCAGTTATGTCAGATCTAACATCCTGTTTGGTGAGTCACCTCAGTGTGGGGCGGTGGAAAGCACACAGGTTTTGGAGATTCAACTTGGACTCCAGTCTCCCCTCCCCCACTATACTTGCAGTTTGATCTCGAATATGTTACTTAACCCCCTTGAGCCTCAGTTTTCTGAATTAAATGTATGCTGTAACAATAACTACTGCAGAGGGTGGATGTAAAGCTTAAACAAAATCCCCTAAAAATAGACTTTATAACCTGTAAACTGCTCTGGCATACAGCAGGCACCGACTATTGAGTGAGTGAGTGAATGAATGAACGAGGGAATATTGTCCTAGGCTTTAACTGTCCATACCAAAATGAGAGAGAGAGAGAGACTGAGAAAAAGAGAGAGACAGACTCATTCTAGTTCCTTTAGATGTTAAGTTTCTTAAGAATGAAAGTGAGTCACGATTTAGGAAAGGAAAAAAGTAAACAATAGTTGAATGAAGGCTGTAGATTTAAATTGATGCTGCAAAATTCTGAAATTGCCACACACACCCAAATTACACACAGCACCTGTTATCGTTGAAGGCTGTCTCAAATGTCACAGCCTTTTCGAGGTCTTTCCCGATTTCCCAGGCAGAGGGAGGAACTCCCTCTGAGGGAGGGCCTGGCAGGAGAAGATTAGCTGTGCCAATGAGATTCTCTTTCAGAGGAATTAAAACTAACAAAATCAAAAGAATTTGCCACTTGGAGCGAAGAGCCCACTCACACTGTGAGTGCCCTTAATGATAGTGCCCCAAAGTGATGGTTCTATGACCCCGGTCTGCTCTGGCTCCCCTGGCCAGAAAAGCGGTAATGTCAGGCATACACTCAAGGATATTTTAACTTAGTTATCCTACACAAGTACTTTGGGAGGATGTAAGCACCTCAGAGAGATGTTTAAATCCTTGTTCTTTTAGAAATAACTTGATCTGACAGCTTGTTTTCAGCTCGCTACCTATCACTTTTCCTTCCCTTATCCTGCAGCCTTTCCGACTCTACTGTCTGCCACACAGCACTTCTGACCAGCCAAGTACATGCAAGCAACCCTTGAGAGACCTCAGAGCAAAGCGGTTCAGACGTGTGTCTGACGGCCAGGAGAAAGATGGCGGCCAGAGTTCTACATTTGGAAGTTAACAGCAGACCGGTTGATTTAAAATCTGTGAGAACAGAAGAAAATGCCCAATGATTGTGCGGGTAGGAGAACCTAAAACAAACGTGGTGGACAGAAACGCTAAAGCAGCCGGCAGGGTAGGAAGGGGAGTAGGGGGAACTCACAAAAGGGCACCCAAAGAAGGGCCCAGTGTAGAAACCATCAGTAACCTTTTCCCAAGAGGTTTTAGGGGAGAGTGGAGACAGAATTCAGACTGCAGTGAGTTTCAAAGAGAAGTTGGACTGAAGACACATAGAGCAGTGATCATTGATAATCCTTTTAAGGAGATTGGCGGGGAAGGAAAAGCGTCCAGACAGGCTTGGCAGCCTTAATTGCTCCCTCTCCACCCTTGGGCAAGGCTGCATGCCCCCTATAAATGGAGTGTGGACTCTAGGTATGCGGACCTTGAGAAATCTCTTTGCTCTGGCTCCCATCCAATTTCCTGAAACTTTCGGCTCTATCTTCCTATCCCTTCCTTAACCCCCGTCTGTTTTTTCCCTCTCTGCCCAGTATGTTTTGGATTGACACTGTGTTTGACTGTCTCTTTGGTTCTCACCCTTTTTCCTGAGACACTGCCCTCAGTTCCTTTTTTATTCTGTGTCCTGAGGCTCTAGTCCAGCCCCTCCCTATCTGGGCACCTAGACCCCAACTCCTGGCCTCCCTGAGCCTCCTAGTTTGGAGCAGAAGTGGTTCAGAAGCAGAGAGATAGATGCAAGATAGAGGAGGATAGAGTCAAGGAAGGAGGTGTCAGTTGGTTGTACTCTCACAGAGACTGGTCAAAGGGAAAGAACCAGCGGGGTGGGGTGGGGTCGGGGGGTGGGGGTAAATGCAGCAGTGGGGGGTAAATGTAGGAGAGGGGAGGAAAAGCTGCAGGGGCAAGTTTCCTGAGTGAGTGGGATGGGGTTAAGGAGATAAGTGGAGGTCTTGACCAGAGGAGGGAAACCTTCAGCCTCTGAGATAATAGAGAAGGAGAAGACAATGAGGGTGGGTGCAGTTACGCTTGTAGGAGGTAAGGGTTTCGCTGAGAGAGGTGTGGAGGTGGGCAACAGGTTTGAACTTGTGAAGATTTGCATGGTCGCTCAGGGAAAAGGAAGAGTAAACTAAGCAAGGAGCAGGATTTTGAGTTTCACTGTGAGACCAGTGGAAGCTGGAGACCCAGCACTTGTAGTGGTGCCTGTTGTACCGTGTGTCATTTTCTCCAAAAGAGTGTTAGCCCATGCAGACAATCTTTCATGAGCCAGGCTGACCATCAGTCCTGGGGATTAAGGTCAGTATTCCCTGGACCTGCCTTGGTTCCTGCCTAAGGGTCAGATGCACTGTCCTTAGGACTCTGGAGGAATCAATGGAAGAACCTTAATGTCCCTCCAACTCATCTCTTGTCTTTATGAAAGGAAGACAATGCTCTGCAGGCAACACAGATGAATTTGACAGGAGAATAGTAAACCATGTGGTTTACTGCATGCTGGTCCTGCCCTAATTGAGCCCTAATGAGACCGAGCCTGCTTAGGGGGATCCCTGCTACAACTGGAAATTCTCATGGCTCTTGCAGCCCATTTTCCAATAGAGACTGAGCATGTGGCCTTCCTTGTCTTTGCCACTCAGAACGGGGAGTAACCTGGGTAAGAACTATGAGTGATTCTGAGGCAGGCTGTGCTCCATGGATGAAGTTTGATCCAGGTGGAGGGTACCACCTGGGCCATTCACAAGCTCCAGCAGGGTCACGATCTTGTCAACCACTTTGCAACTGGGCTCCAGATCCTGGCCCCTGAGCTGGCTGGACAGCGCTGCTCTGGGTATCATTTCCAACAGCCTGGCTGGGCCCTCCACGATGAACTGTCTGAGGTTGCTCAGGGGCTAAAGGCATAGCTGCTGCTGTTCTCTGTAATGGAGAATCGCTCTGCACAAGAGAGCTCTGCCAGGGAACCCCTCCTCCACCACCAGGAAATGACGTGTTCCCTCAGCTGGGAGGGAAGCCAGCTAGGACTGAAGGGATCTCCCCTCCTTTCCTTGCCAGTCCTACCTTCCTAGGAACGTTCTGGCACCCCTATGGCTACAGGGAGCCAAAGCTCCCTTGTAGCCGAGGCCCTTAAAGTCACAAGGTTCCAAATGCAAACGACAAAAAAATATGAGCCAAACATCCACACATTCCCAAACAAAGTGCTAGACCACCTGTGCAGAGCCTGCTGACCTGGCCATCACCCTTCTCTACCCTGTAGAAGAGTGAAGAGGAAGAAGCTGGCGGAGGACTGACGCAGAGACAGTGCATGGTGTGACGTGCATCCTGCCTCATCCATGTTGGCTGCGGAGTGGGGGTTTCCTCCTCACCAAGAGGAAGGGGCTTCAAGGGAACTCCCAGCCAGTTTGACACCTCCTCATGGCTGGCTAACTAATTTGTGGGGCCCAGTGCAAAATGCAAATGTGGGGCCCCTTGTTCAAAAAGCAAGAAAAAAAAATGGAATTAAAAGTACCAAATTATTAAAAAAAATAAATAAAAGTGGGCTGTACACTTGCTCCCAGAAACAAATCCTGTTGAAACAGATTTTTGGGCAAAAATCAAGGCCTGGATTCTTTAGGAATTAAGACACCAGGCACCACGGTAGGCGTTTACATGTTATCTTGTTAAACCTTCACGACAATCCTCTTGTTTTTACAGTTGTCCAGGGTCACGCAGGTAGTCAGTGGTAGAGACAGGATGTGGGCCCAGGTTTTACATGCTCCAAAGTCTGGATTCTTTCCATTGTACTTCAGCGTCTCCCGTGCAAGATGGCAAAGGGGAGAATGCTGGCACTTTCTGAGCATGTACTTGTGGCAGCTCTGTGCTTGATGGAGTTGGTCCAGCTCTTTGAAGATGAGCTTCTGCTTCTGAAGGACCCTCTTCCAGGCCCTTCGGATATGCACATGATCTCCACTGTTCACTGCAGCATCTGACCACCAGGCAGAGGAGCTGGAATGCTGGTGGAGAAAGGAACAGAAATGTGTCTCATTCTCTCATGCAGTATTTGTACGGTATTTAATTGAGCCCTCCTCCTTTGCACCCCTGAATTCCCAGGGCAATTGTGCCTGTCTCTCTCTTTCTTTTAACCTCCTCTTTGTCCCGGGCCAGCAAAATTTAATGAAAAGACAACTGAGAGGTTATGTACATGATGAAAGGAAAATAAATTATCTCAGAGCAGCATGCTTTCTGAAATGAGATTTCAATGTATTAAACAAAAAATATCTTGTCTGGCCAATTATGTTGTTTGTCCAAGAATTATTTTATTGCTCCATTCAGCTGTAGGTCTGTGTAATTAACTGCCATCAGATAAAACAAAAAGGGTCATAATTAAGCAGAAGCTGAGCAATGGGGTTCATGATCTTTTCCCAGTAAGGTTATGATCTTGGAATGTGTGTAGATTCACGACCGTATTTGATGCCTTGTTTAAAACATGGTCTGAAAGGCTGGAGCTGCAAGTAACCTTGGCAACAAAGCAAAAAGGGAGGATGGCCTATTGTGGAATCCAGAGATTTTAGAGCTGAAAGTTTCATGGTAGTCATCTAGTCCAGTCACTTTGTTTGACAAATGAAGAAACTGAGGCTCAGAAATGCTAGATGAACTTAGTCTGAAGACACCCAAGTCATTAAGGTGGAGCTGAGCCGGGAATCCAGGGCTGCAAAGCTGGGGCTTTCCTATTACAGCATATTATTTTGCCTATGGTTTATTTTTGGAGGTTATTTTTGTTTACTTGCTTAACTACATTTAAATGCTTTTATTTTCATTTTTTTTGTTGTTTTTAAAATTATATAAGTAATATATGCTTATTGTAAAGAAATTCAAAACAGATGTATATAGAGTAAAAAGTGAGCCATCCTTTCACGTCTCTCTCCCAAATACGTTTTCTCTCCAGAGGAAACCTTTGTTAATGGACTAGTGTGTAATCTTCCTGACTTTTTCCCATGCATTTACAGACACCTCTATGATTTCTTTTTTCATCAGTGGAAACATACTATTGATATTGTTTTGAGGTTTGCCTTTTTCCTTTAACACTTTTTTGTATTACACAAAGATACCTACCTGATTCTTTTTAAAACTGAGATAAAATTCACAAAACATAAAATTCTATCATTTTAAAGTATACAATTTGATGGTTTTTAGTGTATTCACCATGTTGTGCAACCATCATCACTATCTAATTTCAGAACGTTCTCAACATCACCCAAAAAGAAGCCCTGTACCTATTAGCAGTTAGTCTCAATTCCCCTGTCCTTCAGCGCCCTGGCCCTCACTAGTCTATTTTCTGTCTCTCCAGATTTGCCTATTCTGAACATTTCATATAATTGGAGTCAGAGAATATGTGGCCTTTTGCGTCTGGCTTCTTTCACTTAGAGTAAGGTTTTCAAGGTTCGTTCATGTTGCAGCATGTGCTCATTCCTTGTTAAGGATGAATAATATTCCATTGCATGGATAGACTACATTTTGTCTGTCCATTCATCAGTTGATGGCCAATGGGGTTGTTTCCACTTTTTGGCTATCATGAATAATGCTACTATGAACATTTTACATGTTTTTGTGTGACTAAACATTTTCAATTCTCTCAGGTTCATTCTTTTGAATTACTGCATAATATTCTATAATTTGAGTTTACCATATAACCATTTCTCCTATTGATGAACATTTATGTTTTATTCACTTTTAATTACAAATAGTGGTGCAATTCTTATCTCTGTACATATTTCTTTGAGAGAGAGCATAGTGTCCACTGTGTCACGCAGAAGAGAGCACTTGGTGTCTGAATCCCTGCACTGCCACTTACTAGTTGCATTAACTTAAGCAAGTTGCTTAGTCTTTCTGCCCCTGTTTTCTTATCTGTAAGATGGGATAAAAGTGGAACTTACCTCCCAGGGTAAATAACTAATATAAATAAAGCAGCTAAGTCTTGACACATGGCATGTGTTCAATGAATGTTGTTAACATTATATGCAAATATTTCTGTAGGTTAGGTTCCTAGAAATAGAATTTTGGGGTCAAAATATTCATTTTTATAATTTTGAAAGATATTGCTAATTGCCCTCCAATTAGGTTATACCACAGGGATAAGAATGTCTATTTTCTCCACACCCTTGCCAATTCTGAAAATTATTAAGCTATTTGAGTTTTTAGTTTTAATTTTGTCTGTCTCACAGATAAGAATGGCATATTGTTGCTGTAATTTGTATTTCCCTAATTACAACTGAGGTTAATAAATATCTTTTGATGTGTTTATTGGCTACCTATATTTCTCCTACTGTGAATTGCCTGTTTATATCTGAGTCACACTTTTCTATTGGTTTGTAGACTCTATGTATGGTTACTAACCTTTTGTCATATATTTTGAAAACATTTTCTCTTAGTTTGGTTCTTGCCTTCTAATTTTGTTAACGATATCTTTCGTCATATTGAAGTTCTTAATTTTTATGAAGTCTAGTTATCAATATTTCCCTCCGGAAGATCTCCCATAGACACTTAAAAGCTCAACCTGGAAATGATATGGATTACTTCTACTCACCACTCATTGGTCAGCACGGGTCACACGGCTCCAGCTAACCACAGAGGGACCAGGAAGTATAATCCGAGCCCAAGCCTGGAAGATGAAGAGCGGGAAATATTTGATGGGCAGCTTAAATACTGCCACAACGGTTCAAGTCAGAAAGAGACCGACAGAAACAGGGGAAGATCAATGGAGATGTAAGGGAAGTCTTAACTGCCTCCGGGTATTAGGCAAGAAGACTGTGATCAAGTAATACAGAATTAATTCAGCTGAGTTAGGAAGATAGGGCTTCAGGAAGTAAGCCTGGAACAGGATTCCAAGAGGGCCACATTTTCTGAAGAAGCTGATATCGTTCTTAGCCTTCAAAGAGTGAGCATAGGGATAATGTTTTTGCTCATCAGCCATCCGTTTAATCCTGATTTGAGGAGTTTGTATAGATCATCCAAATATTAAGTCACCAAGCCAGAGGGTATTTTGAACGCACTTGGGGAATGGCAGAGCTGTCTGTTCTTGAATAAATGCCTGCCCAACCCCCATCTTCTGTAAGCGCTCTTAGTACGTGCATGTGCACTTCCATGAGAGGAAAATCAATAGATGGAAATTGAGCTATGTCAAGGAATACATGCATTGTCTGATAGCATCTTTCTGCCAGGAATCTAATATATTGATCAAATTTCCCTCGCAGAGCATCTGTGCAATATACAATAGCAAGACAGGCTAATGGTGGGAATGTTGGCTATACATTATTCTGAAATGCTTCCTTTAACCAAAAAATCAAAGCTTGAGATCTCCATGCAGGGCACTGCCTCGCCTGATGAGTGTCCTAATCTTGCAGTTTCTAGGAAGGGTCACAAACAACATGCTGTCCTATCTGTTTCTGTGTTTCACCTGCTCCTTACTGAGGGTGAGAAATGATTTTCTCAGTTGGAATACTCCTCTCAAAGACAGGGTTCTGCCTCCTCCTCTCCTTCGCCTCCACATCTTCCTCCCCCTTCTTTGAGGCAAACCAACATTCCCTTTTTTCCCCAGTAACAGCAGCAAAGGCGTGGGTAGCTATTTGGCGGTAGCTCTACACAGCCACAGAAGTTGTACCTTTGCACTGTGCACATGCTAGTTTGATTGTTGTTCATAATTTTTGTTATTGTTGTTGTTGCTGTTACAAGGTTAGGGTGATGATAAGGAGGAGGAGGAAGGGTTCTCTGCCCGGCTCTTTCAGACGTGCTCCTTCCCAGCTCAGAATGATGACACAGAGGCACAAGGGGTGTTGGCTGACACTCTGTTCATCATTGGTGAGCCTGTCTTCAGCTGCTAAAGAGGAAGGACACACAGAAGCAGAGAAGAGCATGTGCCTGTATTTTTAAATAAACTGCCTTGTGATGCAGAAGGCCTATGAAACATTTCAGATATTGAACCCTAGACACATGGAAAATTACTCACATGGTTTTATATATTTTTTTCCTCTAATGACTCTAGTAATCCAAAGGGAAATTATTCCGGTTAAACGACTCATTTAAAACACGTTTTTTGACTGTCTCTTGGGCATGGAAGAATCTATTCAGAGATAACAATTTATTATTTAACATTTCGACAGGTGCATGGAAGTACAAGTTGATTGAGTCCAAATAAAGAAATGTGCTATTTTTAACAGCATCTAGATGTTCTTGGCAGAACCTAGGCTAGACTATGTTAGAGGAAAGAATAGGTTTATGATCTTTTTCATTGAGCTTTTCAATTAAGATTTGATAATCAACATAATATTTTAAAAGAAAAACCAAGAATTAGCCTTAGAAATTTTTATGAAGATATGATGAAAGGGTTAGCAAAGAAAAAAGAAAGGAAGAAGAAGAACACAGAAACAAACCGCCCTGGAACTAGAAATAGATGCACCTGAAATAGAGAAATTGTAATAATTCTATTACTTCATTCCTATTATTGCATAGGTTGTTAGAGGAGATTTCATACATTACAATATGCTTTTATTTCCCTATAATAACAGTATTTCTTCCTTTGTAGATGAAAAATACCATTCTATTGTAACTTTATCATTCAAATGTGCAATAAATCTAATACGGGATTTTTATATTTTCACAATGTTTTCAAGCATTTCAGACATGTTATTTTATTTAAGAAGCATGCATTCTCATCAAATAGGGAGAGCATGAATTATTATTATTATTATTTTTTAAAGATTTTATTTTTCTCCCCAAAGCCCCCCGGTACATAGTTGTATATTTCGTTGTGGGTCCTTCTAGTTGTGGCATGTGGGACGCTGCCTCAGCGTGGTCTGATGAGCAGTGCCATGTCCGTGCCCAGGATTCGAACCAACGAAACACTGGGCCGCCTGCAGCAGAGCGCGCGAACTTAACCACTCGGCCACGGGGCCAGCCCCGAGAGCATGAATTATTATCTGTGTTTTTAACGATGAGACAATGACGACTAAGGTCATGTGGCAAAATAATAAGAAGGTTGGAACACACTTCCTCAACATCAAATCTATTACAACGTACTGCCTCTGTAGTCCAAAAACTTACCACATTTTTGGGCACACACTTACTTTCAGTTTCTTGCTTTTTCCTGGGACTGAGTTTGAGCCTATAGAAGTGCTTGAAAAGTTTTGTTTGATGGATAAAATTTTTATCTTTTCTTCTGAGGGAGTGACAAATGAGTGTTTTGTTCCCTTTGTAGTGAAAATAGACATTATGCTGCACTTGGAAGGCCCAAAGCAGGAGAATTGGCCCCAAGTTACCTTATACTACTTTCCAGTACCTTCACTTGGAGTGTCTTATACTGTGGTTAATTCCAGTAAAAATGGAGAAATTAACATAGGTATGTCATGATAATTGGATATAGACTGTCATAAATCCGAAATGAGAGTTTGAGTAATCACACCATTATGTAACAATCCGATTCCTCTCTCTCTTACTTTTCCTACATTACACAGCGTAGCTCTTTGCTATCATGTGTTTTGTGTTTAAGTCTAGTTTTACCAATCAGTAAATAAATTGAAGGTAGGAATTCTCATTTCTTTTGTAACCCAACAGCTAAAATTTTTAATCTTTAGAATCTTCCTGAAACTTTTTTCATTTAAAAATATTCCATGCTCTCTTTTTTGCTGAATACTATACACTTATTTCCTGCCTTCTGTGTTGAATTTATTATATTCCATAAATATCCATGCTTACTCATTCCTTCATTAATTCCTTTGTTTATACATTGTACATCTAGTACAGCTAACGTGCTTTGAACTCGCATAATCTTTACCACATTGTGTTGTAATTATCTGTTTCTCCTAGATTTGAACTATTTGAGAGCAAAGACTGTGTGTTTGTAATCTTTTCGTTTTAGGAAGTACCTGGTACATCATAGGTATACAACGAATGTATTTAGGTGAATGGCCTCTAGTAAAATGCCACATACTTGGCAGGTCATGACTAAATGCTATCTGGTGGTGAAGACAGCTCTGAGTTCTTTTACTTTGTTTTAATCATTCTTCTTATAAATGAAAAGTTTGAAATATTTGAAAGAACAAGACTACCTTTTGAGCAGAGTTTAAAATTGCCTTACCGTGCAAGATCCTGTTTAGATAAACAACCAACCTATTTTGGGGGTGGCTGGATATTGAATGCCCGTGAAGCTAGTAAATATTTTATTAAATGCGTAATTTTTTCAGTAGGTTCATATATGCATGTTATAATGGCAAAAACCTTAGGTGAGGATCAATATATACTAAATTTTAAATCCTGGTAGAATAAACAGAAAGTAATTTTTAAAAAATGGATATTTATTTCTTTGTTCGTTTGAAATTCTGCCTCTGGTTAAACCAAGCAGCCTTTTCAAAATCATTGGAACTGTAATAACATGCCACTAAATGCTTTTGCTTGTTCAATTTTTCATTTGCAAAGGTAATCCGTGCCTTAAAACCTGGAAACCTTTGAAATATGCATCAGGCAGGAGGCTGGCGTGGAGATTGCCTTGAGGTCAGGGCTTTCAGTTCCTCGGTTGCTGAGTCTGAGGTTTCTGCCAAAGGCCACGAAATATCCCTTCATTAACTGGTTCTTGGCGGCAAAGATAATTAAGAGCTAGCCATAGACCAGAATGTTGTAAAAGGATAGATGTCTCCTGTGGTGTGAAAATGGGGCCAAAGACGCTGATCCTCTGACAAGAGTTCTGTACAATCACCACCTCGTAGTTGATGGGGATTTGATTTAACAAAACGGTTTGGAATAAAGCGGCTTTGTAATGCTGGTGGTTTCTGACAGATAGCGCCAGCTTTTACGGTGCTGGCATGCGCAGAGCACAGAGGCGTGACTCCACATGTTGGCAATTCCTCTGGTTTACCAAAGCCCTTCCCCAGGGACTCTCATGTCAGGCCAGTTAGGTGCATGTTTTTACAGGTAGTGGATCAGCTGTTTTCCCTGGAAGTCACCCCCTTCTCTTTCCAGTTTTCCCCTTGAGGGTCACTCAAGGGTGACAAGAAGTTTACTGCTCCTTGAAGGCTGAGCCTGCTATTGCTGCGGCTACCAAAACACAGCCTCAAAGAGACAATGATTTGAACCTGACCTGCTGACTGCTGCCTCTAGACTCCCTGGCACCACTCAGTTTGGGGAGGAAAAAAAATATACCTGGTAGCATTCAAGTCTAGAATTGTAATGAAGTTAGCGTGTCCAGATGTATCCTTTTAAAGGGATTAACCCAGCGTTCCAGGAAGCCTTTGGAGGATAATAAATTATTTACTTTTTCCAAAGGAGATAGGAATAGGAAATCTTCAATTGTGCTCATAGAGATTAGAATTTTAGATAGACCTTTTGCAAGTAGGCAAGAGGTAGCTGTTTGTCTTACACAGAACGCATGCACAGCAAATCTTTGTTTTCACCTGGGTCATTCATTAGTGCATGCGTCTGATCAGGCCAGGGTACCCTGAGCACGCCAATTACACTTTGCTGAAGTCTGCTATAAAAAAATTAGATGATGTGGTTAAAGGAAAAATCCAAAACCATCTTGGGCTGGGAAGGAGGGATTTTGAAATGCTAATATTTGCCTTGGAAGATTACATACTGCTGCTAATCCCTTCCATCATGCAAGGCTCTCCTCCT